GTTTTCCAGTAGGCTTGGTCACTCCTGTTGCCCCTGGACCCAGAATACTGGCAGACTAAATCTTTTAGAACTTTTATACAATACATGAAGAAATAAATGAAAGAGTGAAGGCTAGTTGCTAAAGGACAACTTAATATGTTAGACCTTAGGATCTAATCACCCTATAAGATACAGCTCTCTTCTGCCTCTCTTACTCTGTGATTTTCTTTAGTATGGCTTTTTTTAATGAGGCTATGGTGAGACTGAAGTATACATTTTGTACATAACTTTACTCAACATATATAACAAACATAACAGATGTCTTAAGGTTTTTCCATCCCAAAATGCTACAACTTCATTAAAAGAGAGTGCAGAAATGCTACTGATAATGGAAAATAAAAAGGAAAAATCTTATTCATAGAGCCATCCGGATAAAACTAACATTTCAGCATCTCACCTTTTAGATCATTATTTTCAGAATATCAATTTAAGTCTTACTACGATCATACTAGAGTTAGAATTTTATAAGTGGTGGGTTTTTTTACTGGCTTGGAAATTTTGCTACCAAAAAATACAATGAGTTAGATTAAAATTCACGTAGCCACTTCTTTATATTTATTTAGATTGCTTTCAATCTTTTTCTTTTGCAATATTGCAGTAGTTCTTTCTTTTTAATAAAGCTGGGATTTTCCAGTCTTGGATTAAGGAAATAGCTTTTGCATGGCTCCCACTCCCCTAACTATCCTGCCTTCATCCTCTCCACTACCTCATCCCACCGCTGATGTAACTGATGGCTCTGGCTTCTTATTTGTTTGAAACTGCTCCCTTAAGAGGTGATCTCCCAGTGTCTTCAATTATTATTTTAAATGATGCCTCAGGCTACTGCCTGGCACAGCAGTGCCCTCACCTTCTGCCTTCCGCCTTCCAAGCTTGGAGCTTGGCTTTCAGGCTGGCTGTGCCCCCTCCCGTCCTGAGAGCTGCCTCCAGAGTCCCAGCAGAGAGCCAGATTAACCCCTTTTGTTAGTAGAGGTAATTTGCCTCGGTTTAGCATTAATAGGGAATGCCACAAGCAGTTGGGGTCAGAAAGAACAGATCCATCAAGCCCCAGGGTTAATTTAATAGCAATCTGTTGGCTGCCAATGTTGTATGTTAGCGTGGATCCAATGCTATATTTTGTATTTGCCACTCACTTCTTTGGGAAAACAAGGAAATAATTTGGACAGAGAGCTCTATGGAAAAAGAGGAGAAAATGGGCTCTCAAAATGGATCATTCAGTTTCCAAGGTAATGCAGGGGGCCGTGCAGTACCCATCTCTTTTCTTCTTCCTTCCCAACACAAAGGGCAAAAATGCTGAAAAAATATACCTCCCTTCAGAACGATGTAAGAGGAAAAGGGGTGCAGTGGATTTTTTAGGGGAGGCAGTGTGAAGTTTCCACCATTCTTCCCCATAAGCCATTGAATTTTTAGCAACCAGACTGACTCAAGTATGTTTCTAAAATTCATCAAGCTCTTCATTAGAAAACAAGCCAATAATCCCTTGTCAGGTTTTTAATCCCAACTTCTGGTCCAAAAAACTATATCATAGTACATAAATCTTCTGGTCCTAGAAAACGTCCCCACCAAAGGAACAGGTGAAGTCAGAGGACAGAGGCCCAAAGCAGAAGAGAAGGAGCTTCCCCATTAGCAATGTGTTGTGTCAAGAGAGCCAGGTGGCCATGCTCAGAGAGGGAACGTGGCCCTGTGGCCAAGAACCTGGATGCTGAGTTGTACAAGCTCGGTTTCAAATCCAAGCTGTACCTCTATGAATCATGTGACCTTGCGTTGTTCATCTTCGTTGCTGTTTCCTTATCAGTAAGATGTAATTGTGAGTAGCGCAACCTCTTAAGGCTGAGCCGGGAGACAAGTGAGACAGCACATGCGCAGCTCTCGGCACAGGGCGGGCCCCACATTTGGCAAACATCAGTTGCTTGCTGTTATGATCTTCCTCCTTACCCTTATCAGCAGGGTCGGTTGTTGTCATCGCCCCACCCCACCTCCATTTCCTGCTGACCATTAAATCCAGGAAGCTATGAGTTGTATCCCCATCTCTTTATTTTTATTTCTGAGACAGGATATCACTAAGTTGCCCAGGCTGGTCTCCTCCTCCTCCCTCAGACTCCTGAGTAGCTGGGATTACAACTATGCACAGTCATGCCCAGCTATTATCATGGTTATTAAAAAGAAGGTAACCAGGCATGGTGGTGCACACCTGTAATCCCAGCACTTGGGAGGCTGAAGCAGGAGGATCACTGTGAGCTCGAGGCCAGCCTGGGCTACTTGGTGAACTTGAGGCTAGCCTGAACTACACAGCAAGACCCTGCCTCAAGAAACAAAAAGTAAGAGTCATACTTTATACCCCAGTCTCACAAGGTCAAACCCAATAGGCACTCAAGCCAGAAAGGAGGCTCAGACCTGGAGGAGAAAGAAGCCAATGGCTTGGGGATGAAGGGTGCATAGAAAGGCAGGTTTGGAAGTCAAGGATGGGTGGGAGGAAGGACAGCTCCAGAAGCAGATTCAGCAGGCACATCCCTGTGAAAGTGTCCTTGCTGGACACACAAGGATGCTCCTCGTGGCATAGATATGCCTAGGTGCTTTGTTTTCACACATCCTGACTTTGGGGCTTTATTTTTAGATGGGAAAAAGTAACTGTGGCTGCAGCACCTCCCCCCACTGCATCAGGATCCCTTCCCTCTCGGCTGTGTTTAGAGCTACACTGGCAAAGGTTGAGAAAGCTGACACCAGATTTTCTTTCCCTATTTTGGGAAAAGAGAAACACACTCACTGGCACCGTATGGTAGCAAGGCTCTTTTTGGAGGGTGATGAAGTCTGACAACAGCTGAACATAACCCCATAGCCTGGGTCTATGGCCAGAGAGGCCATCAGCGCTGTGAGTTGTAGCCTCCCCACAAGCAGCACAAGCCTATGCTCCCTAGACTATGTACTGACTGCAATGATATTTTTTAAATGTATTTTCTCTGTGTGTTTTATTTATTTATTTTGCTACCAGAAATCAAGCTCATGCTCTGGCTTGCCTGACAAGTGCTTATGCCACTGAGCTATATCCCCAGTCCCTGCAATGATATTTATAATTCTGGCAGAAATTGAGTTAAAAGGTAGTATTTTTTGAATTCAGGGATTCACCTGCCCTGGAGACCCAAGTGATATTTGCATCTGAGTTGGGTGGGAGAGGTTATACCAAAATGTAATGTTAGGTCAGTCTTGAGCTAATTTTAGAAAGAATCCAACAAGATGTGTAAGAGACCATTAAAGGGAGAGGAGGAGACACAGCCAAAGACAAAGCCACGAGAGCAACAAAGCACATAGCGGGGGCAGCTCTAACAGGAGCAGAGGTGATGTGTAATAGTAGATGCCTCCTTGGTTCATGCTGGTGGGATTCAAAATATCAGCACATTTGTTTGTCCCTGTCTACACATTAAGGAGAAGACTGTCACTTGCTTATTGAAAACAGTGGATGGTTTTTATCCATCCCTGGACAGCTTGTATCAGTTCTTGCCTCTTGAGTGTATTATCTTCCAAAATGTGCTATAAGATCTTGTGGGACATTTCCACCTTAGTTGTTATACATTTATTTATGTATATCATGAAACTCTTGGTTTTAATGAGCACTGCTTAGAGAAAAGGCATCCTATTTAAAGATAGTCTGAGGAGAACATGTTGAGGAAAAATCACTCCCTGATGACGCGTACAGGTAGAGCAAACATTGTAAAGGTGGCACACACATGATGAGGTCTGAGAAAAGCGGGAATCATCCTGGCCAACTTCACTGCGTCACAGCATCCACATCACAAGGCCTGATCCTTTGCAGAAAGTTGCGGCATTGCAGACAGAACCTCCGTCTCAGCCAGGTGCCTCCCAAGCTTGCGGCAGGACTGAAGGAATCAGTGGTAACCCGTTCTTCACTCATACCACACACTGTCCAGGAGATGCCATTTCCACTGAATTGCTTTCACAAACAGAAGGCCAAATGTGTCATTCCAATATACAAGTATGTGGCTTTTAAATAGATGTATAATAATTCAGAAAGACAATGTTGAGAAAGGGGTAAAAAAACATAATAAATCTAAGAATGTCATCTATGGAAACCTAAATCTTGTCCACCATGTACGGTTGGCTTCTTCCAGATAGTTAAACTCTCATCCGAGTTCTAAAGCAAATCTCAGTTGATGGAAACTAGAAGGCCTAGTTTTTAAGTGAGAGTAATTCTGTATAATTGTACAGCAGCACAGATTTTGCACATGGAATGAGCTCCTACCGTTACTCACCAGCCATGTGTCTTACGGCAAGTTAGTTTACACACGCAGAGCTCCATTTCCACCCCAGAAAGATGGACATAAAAAAGTGTTTCTTACAGTTGTGGTAAGGACTAAATGAGATGAAGTGCATGGTTTCATTTATACAACTAATGGCCTATATTGTGTTCCATAGATGGTAGCAGCTATCATTATTATTATTACCTACATTATTAAACAAAGTTCAAGGATTTCATGGAAGAGGATTTTCAGTTTGTTATAGATAACATGTATCAGTCCCAGAACGTGGGTATGGAATTAAATAGGTTGGATTTTTTGGTTGGAATGAGACTACTTTCTGTTACAAAGTGGAAAACAAAATGCTTTGTAACTTGGCCCATTTAAGGATGTTTGCTGAAGATACCTTAGGCCATGAATGGGTACTTTTTGCAAGCTGTGGAGGATAAAATGGTGACAAAGAATCAGGAGACCTGAATTGTGATGCTGTCTGTGACTACCGGGTAACGTTGGTCCATTTTCTTAAAGTCCTAAGCCCCATCTGCCTGCAACCAGTAACACTGGCTTTTTTGCTAAGAGTTCCAATAAGGATCTGCTACATGCATGGCAAAGGCTACCATGCTGTGCTCAGGAGATGGTACTGTTGCTAAAACCACCCCGCCCCCAAGTCTCCGCCTCCTTCTCCTGGTTCCCTCCTTGACTCGTCTGTGCCAGATATTGTGGACATCAAGCCGGCCAACATGGAGGAGCTCACCGAGGTGATCACAGCCGCGGAGTTCCACCCCCATCACTGCAACACCTTCGTGTACAGCAGCAGCAAAGGGACGATCCGGCTGTGCGACATGCGGGCGTCGGCCCTGTGCGACAGGCACACCAAGTGTGAGTAGCGGCCAAGGGTGGGGGGGACACTGGCCTCTGACTTTGGGGAGTGAGTGGCATTGGGAGGTTTTGATCTCATTTGACAAAGGGGAATGAAGAAGCCACAAGTGTTGATCCACCTCGGGTGTCAGCTCCACTTTTCGTGTTTTGGTAAAAATGAAACCTCACATTCCATTCCAAACATGTGGATGTAGAGGTGACCCTTGTCCAGAAAGGGCATAAATAACACTGTGGCATGATCCAGATCGTGCGCTGAGATCATTCCTGCTGCTGAGGAAGCATGGCCCTAAGGAGCAGCCCAGGGAGCTAGTGAAGGGACTGCTAAGGGGTGCCCTGCACATGGGAGTGGGATAGACATGGACAGCAGCTGAGTTCTGGAAAGATCTTGGCAGGAGAGTTAATAGTGCTCACTGGACCATGGGGAGGCTGAGAATAGGCCACTGAACAAGAAGCCAGTGGCTTCAAGAGAGGTTGTGGCTAAGGAACCAGAACTGTAGATGCCCCAGTAGTCTGAGTGGGCAACAATGAAAAGCTACAGAGAGGGAATGAGAGTAAAGTGCAGCCAGATACACAGCCCCTCTGGTCATCTTGGGGTTCTTAGGCCACTGACAGGAAAGCAGCTCCAACCCTTGGGAATGGGGAACGTGGGAGCAAAAGCTAAAACCAGATGTACGTGAAAGAGCTGCTGGCACCAAGTACTTGGAAGACAGGATGGGCCTGGAGCTGTCAGGGAGCACTTCTAGCAAAGAAACTGCTCCCAAGGGTAGAGGTGCCTGGAAAGCAGTAGTGATCCAGGAATGATTTGAGCTAAATGGTATGCTGCTGCCACGTGTTGAGGAAAGGCCAGGGCTGAGTGCGTCCCACCACCACCTTCTGGCCGTGCTGCGTTGCCTTTCCAGTTTTAAGGAGTCAGAACAGAAGACTTTTTCTCCCGTGGTCCCAGTTTTTAGTTTCAAGACCTGTGTGATGCGAGCGATCTGACAGCTCTCTGCATACATGCACGCACAACCAAGAGAGGAGCGGCTGTCTGGTGCTCATTCTCCAGCAGAGGTTTTTGCAGGGAGCAGCTAGGATGTGTGCTGTAGTTGTCTGTACAGAGTGCGAATTTGAGTCACCCAGAAGGTCACAACCTTGTTGCCTGTTTTAGCTGCTTTTGTCCTCCTTTTGTTAACCTTTGTGACCACATCCTCATAGATGCGGTGAGTAAGACAACCAGCCATAGCTGCACACGCCTGTGACCCCCACACTGAGAGAGGCTAAGGTAGGAGGATTGCAAGTTCAAGCTCAGTGGGAGAAATTAAGAGATTTAGCAAGACTCTGGCTCAAATTTAAAAAAAAAAAAATTTAAAGGAGGGGAGGGTGGCTGGGGATGTAGCTCAGTATGAAGGCCCAGGGCTCACTTTCCAGTACAGCAAAAGAAAAACAAAAGGTTGAGGGTGATAATAACTGTTAAAATCATCTCATGGATTTGTTGTGGGGCTTAGATGAGATAAATATTTAAAAAGGTTGTTAATGAGGTATCCTACCTTCTCTTTTTTTCCACAGTAAGTCTTTAAAATTTGACATATATTTTTATATCAGCTACATATCAGATGCCTAAAAACCATGTACAGCTGTCAGCTACCACATTAGGGCAAGTAGGGGACATTTTGTCACCGTAGAACATTCTACTAGAGCCTCATTCACTGTGGCTTCCCCAGCAACTTGCCAGGACAGATGCTTAACAAATACTGACAGTGCTCTAATCAATCTTTGAGAAATATATTTTCATAAACTTACAAGGGAAAGCACTTGATGCACAAGGACCAGCCTATGCAAAGGCGATGAAGCATATAATATGCTCTGGTATAAATTGTGTGCTATGTTTGTGGACCCAAGTGCAGTGGTGCATGCCTATAAACCCAGCTACTTGGAAGGCTGAAGGGAGGAGGATCCTAAGTTCAAGGCCATTGTGAGTACCTCTAACAAAAAAGAGCTGAGGATGTAGCTCAGTGTTAGAGTGATTGCTTAGCATGTATGACCCCTGGGTTCAATTGCATGTGCTCTAAAGCAATAAAACAATATTTTTGTGGAAGCATAGGGTGATTGATTATGGCTGTTTTATAGGGAATGACTGGGAGAAGATAATTGATACTCAGGAGGAATGCCTGGGCTGCTCATAAAAGTGATGATGATGTTGTTGTTGTTGTTGTTACCCAAAAAGTGGAATTGGGGCGGGGGGTCAATATTAGTGAACTAAAGTAACCAGGGGAGTAATATAGTCAGTTTTCAGAGAAACTAGAGAAAAGGCAAAAGAATGAAGGTTGAATTCTAGCAAGAACAATAAGATAAATTAGGGGGATATTGTACTATTGAATTTTGGCCCACATTTTTTGTTCAGGGAAGGGGCTGTTCTAGGCACCAGGTGTTGTGAGTAGCATCCCTGGCTCTCCTGTCAGATACTAGCAGCAGTGGCCCCATTGTGACACCCAAAAATGTCTCCATACCTTAGGAAATGTCCCCTGGGGAGAAAAAAATACCTCACAGTTTAGGACCACTGACTAAACCAAAATTCAGCATGATATTCCAGTATCCACCATATGTTTATTACTCTAAACAAAACTCCGGGTGGTACAACACAAAGGTAAGACTTATCTCCTATACTGCAAGAATTTGAAGGATGGCTAAGAAGGCAAGATGTACCCAGGAAACATTTCAAGGACAGTGTTCAAGACAGTGCATATTTTAATACCAAACAGACAGTACTGAGAATGAGGAGTTAGGATGTTCAGAGGAATGTGACATTTGAGACAAACCTCCAGGGATGGCAGATGCTGAACAGCCAAGTATGGGAGTACAAAGAAGATTTGATTAGGTGAAGCAGTGGGCACAAAAAGGGCAAAATTCTGAATAAGTACATGGAACCTTAAACAATAGCATGTGTCAGATTTCAGGGAAAGGGTACTGTCCAGTTAATGAGGTCACATAAGGGTGATGGTTTGTATCAAGTTGGTCCTTAAAGCTAGGAGTCAACAGTTTAGACTGTCATGTCATGTCATTCGTAGAGTGCCTACTTTATACCCAGAGGCTGGCTTCTATGGTTACTATTCTCCTGAAACTTTTGTACCAAGTACAGCTCTCCAGGGTCCAGGCACAGAGCCCTGATGCAATGGAGGAAGACCACAGAGAGACAACTCAGTTTCTCTGCTGTGTTTTGTGGGGCCCTCCCTGTCAGCAAGGCAAATAGCACTTTCCTGGAAGAGACCAGAGATCCAAGTCAGGTGCTGACCACATAGATTTTCTTTGAAGTCTCATTTTTCTACCAAAAATTACATGTAAATTTTGTATATCACCCTCATAAAATGTCTATTTTCAGTTTAATACTCTACCCCACCCCCGAATTTCAAGTCAAATGGATGCCCTCAGAAGGTGCTGCATTTATCCTGTGGCTCCCTGGACATCCCAATATCCTCTTCCCTCTGACCTCCAAGGTTCCGCTATTGGTTTGTCATAGATGGCTCTTATCAGATTGAGGTAAAGACCATCTATTCCAATTTTCTGTAGGATTTTTCATCATGAATGCGTGCTGAAATTTGTCAAAAGCTTTTTCTGCATCTTTTGAGATGATCATATGGTTTTTGTCCTTGGCTCTGTTAATATAGTGTATTACATTTATTGAACTATGTGTGCTGAACCATCCCTACATCCCTGGGATGAATCTAACTTGGTCATGATGTGTAATCTTCCTGAGGGTTTGCTGCATTCGGTTTACTAGTATCTTATTGAAGACTTTTGTGTCTGTGTTTACTAGGGAGATTGGCCTGTAGTTCTCTTTCTTAGTTGGGTCCTTCACTGGTTTTGGTATCAGGGTAATGCTTGCTTCCAGGAATGAATTTGGGAGTATTGCTTCCCTGTGTGCACCATTTTGAGAAGCACAGTTCCCAGTACACTTGGTATCATTTAGTTGAAGAATAGACTTAACAGAATTTGTGTCTTGTGAAAAATTAGTACAGTAGTGTGAAGAAAGTTAGAGATGAAAGGTTTTGCTTTAGTCTGAAGGCAAGGGAAATCCACAGCCTAGGACGGCGAGGTGGCTGTGGAAATGGAAAGGAAGGGAAAAGGTAAAAGAAATGCTTTAGAAGTGTGTTAGAAGTTGGCTTTCATCACACACAGATACAATATTAATTTCTGATATGGGAAGCCTGAAAGCTGTTTGAGGATAGAAACTGAATCAGTTTTGTTCCCATCATATTGCCAAAGCCTGGCATACACATAAGTGGTCAATAAATATTGATTCAATAAATAAGTGTGTGCCTAAGGGTTGACATAACTGGTGTGGGAATAGGGATTGGTGGGGGGCTAGCCTGGGGGAGAATGAAGCACTGAGGTTCTGTTTGGGACATGCTGGGCCTGCGGTGACATGAGCTGCCTACAGACGCCTCCTCTGATGAGCGATGGCTGGATGGGGCTGGAAGGGCCACTTCCCGTGAGGGATGCCAGAGAAGGCACAAAAGGCCCTGGCATCCTCATGACCCAGCGTGGCAGACAGCAGCCGGGACTTTGGAGTCAGACCCACATGAGATCTGAATACTGACGAATAAACTGGGAGGCTTGGTGAACCCTAAACTCAAAATGGGAAAAGGATAAGGCTTTAGGAAGTTTCAGACCAGGATGGCTTAAAGTGGATGCTTTGAGACCAGGGTACATCTCTGACAACTCAGTGGCTGTGTGACCTCAGGCACATCATTCACCCTTCTGAGTGTCACATTCCTCATGCAATGGTAGAAACATTAAGCGTAGCATCATGGGGCAGCATGTTCATGAGAAGCAGATGTCATCATGGGCATAAGCTCGTAGCACCTGCTGGGCACACAGGAGCTCATAAGTGACAGCAGCAGATATCACTATTGTTTCTCCCCAATTCCTGGCCTACAGTGATAAGGTACTTAGAACCCCTGCCTTTTTGCTAGATGTTGGAGGCCCTATTCATTGATTTAATTAGTATTTATTGAGCTCATACA